GCGACATATCAATGACTGCAACCATCGTGTTGTCTACAAACCTCTTATGAATGGTTGACCTCGCGGAATGAGAACGAGGCGCGAGATTATTTTGTGATTGCATATTTAGTTGTCATAGCAACAAAGATCTGTGTAGATGGTTCAGCCGCCATTATATCGGAGTTAACTCTTCCTCCTTGTTGAAACACCACTCAGCGATGGCTTCGGGAACTAACAGCCCTCCAGAAAAAAGCAAGGTAGGAAAGGCAGATTCTAGAGTGTTAAAAACCTCTTGTAATGCTTCTTCAGTTTTTGCGTACCATTAGGCCCTTTTTATTATCAATGTTTCGCAAAGGATGAAGTACACTTACCTGGTACATATTAGATTTTGAACCATCATCGAAGAATGATAAAATCCCACTTCTAAAACGAAATTCAACAGGAATTATTCCTGATATTCATAAAGTAAAGTCACCAGTAACCTTTTTATTCGTTCAAAGTTAACGTTCCCGAACGCACTGCGTAGTGTTCATTTTGATGCAGTTTGCACTACAGTAAAAACCCGCAAGTAAGAACCTAAAAATTAAGAACCTGTTAGCCTAAAATTTGCCATTTATACCCCCTATAAACAAGAACCTATTTAGCCTAAGAAAATTAAAATAGGTTCTTATTTTCTGAAATCATATAGTACATTACAGGTACACTGAAATTGTGTACTGTAATCGTAATCATAATCAAAGAAAAACCATATTGCCATTGCTGTAAAACATGATTTTCTTCAGAAAAATGAGTGCAAAATATGTAGTTACAAAATATAGGACAATTGCCAACTTGTTATGCAGGTGTGTTTTTCTCCAAGAATAAGAACCTGTTTTAAGAACCTAAACAGCCTAAAATTTTGTTAAGTAACATTTATATAAGAACCTGTTTAGGCTAACTCCTAAAAATGTAGGTTCTTACTTGCGGGTTTTTACTGTAATCTGTATTACTGGAGCCACAGACAACTATAAAATAATACTCAGTGATATCATAAAGGTGCTTTTTATGTTAAACTTTTAGTATTGCCAAGGATTTCAGTTACTTTTGAAAGTTGATCTCACATATGTTTATTTTGTTTGATACCTGGTGGGTTCACACTGCAATATTGGAAGTGATATTTAAAACTGGCAATTCATACCGACCAAAGAACTGGTGCGGATCCAATACTTTCAAAGTGTTAATCCGAATACCTTGACAGACATATGCATGGTGCATGATCTGCTTTTTTCAATTTTTATTTACCATGTTCTTGTTGCCAACAATGAGGTTTAAAGGTAAAGGTAAAGGTAAAGGTCTCTATTTCTCTAAACAACATACGTGTTTAGTTACAATTTTAAGGTTGAAATCAGACAGGCGCCTCTGGCAGCCGTGTTTAGTCCATAGCGATTTCACCTACCCACCCAACCCACCCCAGGGAGGACATCCATCACACAGTAATCTCGTGCGTGGGAAATTAACGTCTCCTACCCCAAACCCTGCAGGAGAGGGGACCTCCATTTATTCATCCCTATCCGAGAAGACTAGAATATCTAACCATTTCTTGATGTTAAAGAAAGGAAGCATATTCTTCTCAATTAATTTTAAGACCCTGAGTATTGGTCCGGCCGGTATTGAACTCTCGACCTCCCGCACAGCAGTCCGGCGCTCTCCCAATTGAGCTAACCAGGCGGCGGTTTAAAATCTAAGCTGTACAATGTAGAATCCTACTTGAACCTGGTTAACCTGAACACTCTGCTAACTTGAGCAAGATCTGATTTTCCGAGGATTTGTTTCTGTTTTTCCCAGTCATTTACTATCAGCTGACTAAAATTCCTGGTTAACTCAAACTAATTCTACTTTCCCAGTGGCTTATATTTACAGTGATAACTTGAACTTTGAGTAAAAAGTCGGTTGATAAACATCAAAGTGTCTGAACATAGATGATTGATGCAATCCAATCTTAAATCGCAATCATCAATTGGCTAGCCTTTCTAAACTAAATCTTTGTGTAAAAAAACTCTCATAAAAGAAACTAAATGCACGGAAATGACTGTTGATTGTGCAAGTTTAGTAACAACATGAATTCTTTGTCATTGTTAACAGGATACCATTTCCTTTTGGTTCAAGTGAGGGGGGTTCTACTGTTGTTAAATAACACAGCATCTTAGTCCTGGACCCTGTAGTCTATATAATGAACAAAAACATGTGAATAACTGTAAACCAGATATAACTAACAAACTATCTTAAACTAAGCAAATTTTGCAATGGAAATTTTGTACACAAATCCTGAGAACATAAAATACTCAAGTTTACATATTGTTAGGTATGATATTATTTGGTTACATATTATTTGCTTGACAGGAAAAAGAAAACAAGAATTTTTCCCCATAGGAAAATTGTCCTTAAGCTTTAAATTACTTTGAGTCATGCCATTAGTTTCACCAGCTGGTAGACAATCGCTTGCTGGAGATGATGATGATGAACTTTATGATGAACTTTATTCATGTGTCAATTATAAAATAGCAGTAATAAAACCACTAAGTAAGGACACACCAAGATAATTTAAATAAAATAATAAATAACTAAGTAATAATATACGATTAAGGTATTATCCTTGTTTTACCCTTTAATCAACAACATGCATGCACACAATAGATCAAAATTATCATGATGTAAACTTTCATTTATTTCAGAATGTCACAGAAAGTAACCCAGTTCCAGGAGGGACAGCATATGACTTTGCGCAAACCAAACCAGGAAAAGGTGCCATTACCTCTGATTATTACCGCACTTTCAACATTCCTGAGCGGTTTAATAATCCGGGTATGTTTCATTGTGTCTTACAGATCTAATTAATAACCCAGGCAACCCTGTTTTCTCCTGCCCCACTGAAGTTCAGTTAATTAACCAAACAACAACAGGGACTCAGGAAGGAGGTGGGTTTAACACAATTTGAACTGCAAATTACAGAATGTCTTGCACCATTTGGTATTTTACGCTCATATTTGGTTGTCAAAGTTTTTTTTTTTCTCTCAGTTTAGGAGAAGTTACAACACTCTTCCAAATTTAGTTTTATCAGAGGTCTTCAACCTGTTTTGGCACTGCCTCACTTATTGTTTAGAATAGTTCTCAATTCATTACAAATGTACATGCAGTAATGAAAGGATATTAGCTTATTATGGCATTCTTGCAGAGTATCTAATAAAATTGTTTTCTCTAGATTGGTTTGATGGTTACAAAGCAAAGAAGCAACACCCAATGTATATGACAAGTGGAATGGAGTATGGGTGAGTAATTTGTACATAATTTTGCAGTTAACTGTCAGTAATGCATCAGTGAATACATTGGGAGCCTTAAGCAAGCAAGATATGGTAACACCAAGGAAACTCTTGGTTAAAAAATTTTCTTTCTTTTCTTCAGAAGTTTTTGAATGGCTGGAGGTGATTGCTATCATTAAAGGAACCAGGCTTCAAATTCAGTTTAGCATGCAAACTCAGTATTTAGTTCCAAATTAAAGTGCAAATAATTCATCGTTGTTCTCAGATAAGGCAAAAGTTGTCGATTTCACGGTTTAGTTATCGGAGAACAGCTAGGAAATGAAGGGAGCTTGAAAGCATACATGCTGAGCTTTTCTTGTTTTGCTATGTTCTCATTGCTGTTGCATCATAGTTTACAAAAGGTCTCTATTAAACTTCTGCTAACCTTCTCACTGAACTTTTCTCTATTTCTTCACAGGAGTCATCGTCCAACAGTTCATACCATGCCTACAAGTTTTTATGCAAAGAGCCAAAAATTCTCTGAACACTTAGGGACATGTGGAATGTACAGAAATCAGTCTCTGAATACCTCTATGGATAAAAGTATTGTTTGAAACAGCACTTTTATTCTTTTTTCCAGGGGAAAATACTAATCTTGACAAACCAAATATGTAAATATGTAAGTTTTTGTTTTAGTCTCCTTGATTAAAATTTTTCCGGAGTAACAGGATGTTTTTGTGGTTATCTTGTAAATATCTTTTAAATAATCAATATTGGGTACATTTCTGTAACCCCCACAAGAGATTAGCATCTAACTTCTCCTTACAATGTCACCACTGAATCACACATTTATTGTCACAAGAATAAAGGAAATGATCACCTACTAGACACCGCCTCCCAGTTAACTCAATGGATAGAGCACTGGACTGTTGTGCAGGAGGTCGAGGGTTCAAGCCCCAGCTGGACCAACACTCAAGGTCTTAAAATACTTGAGAAGAATATGCTACCTTTCTATAACATCAAGAAATGGTTAGATATTCTAGTCTTCTCAGATAGGGACAAATAACTGGAGGTCCTGTCTCCTGCAAGGGTTATGGGTAGGAGACATTAATTTCCCACGCACGAGATTACTGTGTGATGAATGTCCTCCCCTGGGGTGGGATGGGTGGATTGGGGTTTGTTTAGGCGGTTGAACCTAATAGGGGACTACGTGTCTAATTGTTCTCTCCCCTGTACACTGTACGAATTTATAAATACAAATACAAACTCTCTTGTCAGCACTTAGGAAATAGATGGGAAATGCACATACTGATGCCAGGTTGTAAAAGGGTAAATAAGAGACAGTGGCTTAATGATTGGTCTACTGGATTACATTGAGAGATATTGGTCAAATATCTAGTCTGGTCACCGTGGTGCAATTTATCCTCAAAGTACTTCTCTCCACCCAGGGGGTAGAAATGACCATCAGTAAACTGTCAATCTTAATAACTACAGAAGGGGAAGAGGGGTATGTGTAGCCCAGCCATGTGATAGCCTTCTGTCCAAGGGGAGTGTTAGTATTGCTAAGTGCTTCATAGAACTGAGACAAGAATAAAGTTCTGACATGATGGGCCTTCCTGCTCAAAAGCACAGGCTTTTTAATACCATGACACTTCTTAGCTTGGGCTTTTTTCCATTACAGCTACTGTACTTTCCTCCAGCTGTATACATAAAGAAAGTTGAGCCACATTACTAATAGTATTGTTATACCTCCCAACTCAAATCAGTGTTTTGACAGTAGAATGTGCTGTATGCAACTTCCCACGGACACACCTCACCAAAGCTAATTTCTATAACAGCCCACACCACAAAAATAAATTTTTTTTTGCAGTCATGGCTGACATTTCACTCTTTGAGTCAGCTCAGGGATGAGAAATAGGACTTTGGGAGCGAGGATGCTTGTGTATTGGGAGGTATTACAAATTAACACCAGGCCCCACCTGAAACAGTGAGTTGTTTCTCTTTGACCCTTAACATTCCCCTTAGTTACATCCTGCTTTGTTCATACTAAGTGTTCACAGGCAAAAGCTAACTACTCCACAGATAATGAGTTCTATTATCACTACAATGATAAGCTGTAACAATTAATGCATTTAGCAAACTCTCTCAAACCTTCCAGTTTTTAAACCTTTCCACTATGACACCAACATAAATATACCCAGGGCTGTGCTACTGAGCACCTTGCTTGAATTTGCTTTTAAAAGCAGTTGGATAGAAGTTTAGGAAACCAATTAAAATAGCGTTATTTTTAATTTTTTTTTTTTTTTTGGTGTTCCAAGTAATTGAACAGTCAAGGTCCCTATAAACATTAGCATGTCATAAAACAACCACAATCCCCCAGCTTTTCTTATAACTTTTATTAATCTGCCTCAACTGTCTGTACATATTAAACAGCTCGAATTTTCTTCCTTTCAAATTATCTTACAAGAATCAACTTTTATTTTGGAAGAAAAAAAGATTTGTTCTGCAAGTTTGGTACACAAACGTATGAACTGCATTTCAAAAAAACCAAAGTCAGTAACTCATTATTCAAATATCTACCAGTTGTAAAGCTATTCTACACTTTATATTTCACAGTTATAACCATTTTGAAGATTGGTACTGCCATGCAGAGCCTAAAGGTTACTTTTTTTAAAAAAAGGTAATTGCAATGACTACTTGTAGTGATGTTGCCTTAGGAGCTTTTTAGTTCCTGTCCAATCTTATAACCAAGAATCTTGTTCCAGTCAACTTTGGTTCGTGTAATTGGAAGCTGCCTTCGTAAAGCCTTAAAAGTGGTCTGTGACATGGTAGTGTAGTTTTCTGAGAGTGCTCTCTGCAAAAGGCAAAGAAAAATTGTTCCCACTCTTAACATAATCAAATAATGGATTAAAAGAAAACCAATATGTAACAACAAGATAATGGTTATTGTTTTATATTGAGATTCTCCCTCCCTTCTAACCCGCAGAGCAGGTGTGATTTTGGTGGGCTCATAATTATTATCTTGTTGAAAATTCTAGCTGCTATCTTTGAGTTTTAGAGCAGCTGAAGGCTGGTGAGAGGAAGGAATTTGTACCCATGCTCTGAACAACCATCAAATAGAAGGAGAGGGGAGGTGATGAGATGAGAGAATGAATATCATGTGCCTGCCTGAGGTCGTTGTTGTTTTGGGAAACTCCATTCACCCACAAATGAAGTTTCTGCTTGGTGCCGTTGAGCTCTAACTGACGATCACTAACATGCCAAACTGCTTCCTGTCACTCTTGCACAAAAGAAAAAAGATAGTGAACTGTGTTGAAGGTGAAATTGTCCATTTTGATTTTGCTCTTGAGGAAGCTTAGCCTTCATACAGCCTAAAAAAACCGACTCTTTTGGGGCAGGAAGCAGCTGTAAACAGACTAGCTGAATCTCTCAACTGTTTATTGCAACATGATATGTTTTACCCAACATGAACAGAACAAAAGATAACATTATAACACTGGTCTCTGGAAGAGATCTGCTTGCAGTGTTGCTTACTGCTTTTAGGAAGAGCTTCCTGTTTCAGAAGCTGGCTCCCATTCAACAGACTATAGCAGGAAAACCTTTGAGTGCAGTTGTTTGTCTCTTTTGAAGTGTCACTTACAATCAAATGAAAGAAACATTGTCGTGAGGATTAATGGCAGCTATGTTCTAGGATTGTTGTTCTAAGCTCATATTTATGACAGACCAGGAGGTTTGATTAAAGCCATTCCTATCCTGGATGAAAAAACCTGCCTCACCATTTCACTCATTGGCCCTAAGTGCATTTGTTTTTGTCAGAAGACAGTGCTCTGGTTTTTAAATAAACTCATTTTGATTGGTTACCTGCTCAGTGATGAAAAACTGATCAGGGGGGGTGTTTTGTTTTTTAGACAGCCTCTTTAGGCAGGCATCACTATCTTTTCCCAACCTCCCATCCATCCACTCTGACTCCAGATCAAATATGGCCAGTCAAATAAACGATGCAACCTTCTAGATGTCAACTGCCCCTTCTAAGACAACTGCACTGCAGGCTATTCCCCTACGTGCCAACTGACATGTCGCTGTAGATGATTCAAGTACCTGATAGTCACTTTCTGCAGACTCTATTATCTGTAAAAAATGCTTTGCTGTCCCAGCTTCACTCTGCAAATTAAAAAAAAGTGGTCTCATTGTCTACATCTGAACAAAACAAGGGAGGACAGACAGTTAATGAGGTAGTGATTGACTGCTTTTGCTCTACTTTTGCAATGTCAAACTTTAAGATAAAAGTCTTGCCTTTTTGTACTTCAGACTTCTAATTTCATGTCTCAAAATGCTGTTGATTAAGTCTAAAACTTTAACTTTTAGGGAGCATGCAGTACAGTATAATGCCTTGCACACCCCAATAGACATACAGCACTACTCACAACTAAGTTGACAGTCTCAAATCAAAACTCAATCCTCAAAACTTCTGAGAACCAAGGATTGAGGATCAAGTTTCAAGAGACTGTCAAATTACTTTTCAGCAGTCAACTTATGGTATGAAGCCCTACAACTCCTGCTCATTCCATTGCAATTTGTCTTATAAATTTAGAGAAAACACTAGTGCATCAAACTGACAGTTCTTCACTTACTGTTACTTTTAGATTTTCCTTCACTTCTTTGGATGACACAAGTTGAACATTGCCATCTTCATAGTAATGAACCTGCAAGTTTCCACATTGAAAATCATCAAATCAAAGTTACAAACAAAACAAAAACCAAAACAAGTAAACCAGAAAATGGATTTTAATCCTGTCTATTGATGTATGACTGCCAGCCAAGCATTACACAGCAAGAGGTCAACTCAGTTTCTTTCATTTGATTAAGACATTGCTTACATAAATTTAATCACCTTGGCCTAGGGAAGAATTACTTGTGTCCCTAAATTTCCTTCACAATCACATGTAAATCTATTGATGTCCAAGTGTTCCTTGGAACATTCCACTCCAAAAATTAAAGTATATCTTGGACACTACACTTTAAAATCTTCCTGCATATGTTTACACATGAGGACCTAAGGTATTTTGTCAACATATCTCACACCACAAAAAACCCTTGAAAAAAAAAAAAAATACAAACCAGCTCTAATATAGATAAAATTGTAAAAGCAACTCCATTTGTTTTTGCAAAATAAAAAGAGATAAATGATGAGTTAAGGAAAGATGGCTAGATAAAAAAATTTGAAGGCAAACTGTGAGGGGCATTATACTGGCAATATATTGAAAAATCAAGTTCAAGAGAAATTATCAGAATTGTACATGTTTCATTTCACAAATAAGGAGGACACCACAACATTTTTTCTTCATAGGTACCCATTACAAAACTGTACAGTAAATGGTTTGAAAAAAATGGTTGTGTTTGACTTCAATGTACAGTAGTGGGTTTCTTTTACCTGCACTTTGAGGACACCAGTGACTTCCACATTTCCACCTGATGGCTGGAATGACACAGACCACTCTGAACGCCACCTTCCATTCCTGTTAAAAAAAAAACAAACAAGTCATCACACCAGCCTTGGAGAATAGTTAGGTGGAAAGGGTTCCACAGAAGTATCAAAGAAGACAAGAACCTTGTTTAGTGAATCATAATGACCTAGTAAAGAACAAACAAAGGATACTCCTATTTCATACTCATCACTGTTATCTATGTATAAACAAGAAGATCTGAGCACAAAAAATTGAAAAATTGATATCTCATTGACAGCTGTTCTTACCAAAAGTTTTGTGGTTGAAACTGGTGATCCTCTATACATACAACCAACGTGATTGTTCCACCAGAACTACTTCCATAGACCTTCAAATGTAAACATTAACACAACTTAAACACTTTCACCTTCCACAAAAAGATGCAATTAAAATTACACTGTGAGGTTTCATTGCCTAACCTATGTATAATTATTCACTAACAGTCAATAATAATCGTGTATCATACGTATCTAATACCGCAGTTCAAAATATATGAACTTCATATATTCATTGTATCTGATTTATCACTTTCACGGGTTTATTACGAATCAACTTAACGTCCTGCTCCCAGTTGGCTTGTTAGCTCAATTGGTAGCGCGCTGCACTAGTATTGCAGAGGTCAGTGGTTTGAATCCCATACAGGCGCCTGATTTTTTTCAGGTCTGATTTTCGCTATTGCATAAATAGCGTTATCTACTGCAAGGATCGTGTATCATACGTATCTAATACCGCAGTTCAAAATATATGAACTTCATATTCATTGTATCTGATTTATCACTTTCACGGGTTTATTACAAATCAACTTAACGGCCTGCTCCCAGTTGGCTTGTTAGCTTAATTGGTAGAGCGCTGCACTAGTATCGCAGAGGTCAGTGGTTCGAATCCTGTACAGGCCTGATTTTTTTCAGGTCTGATTTTCGCTATTGCATAAATAGCGCTATCTACTGTGAGGATCGTGTATCATACATAGTCAATAATAAGTTGAAAGTTTATTAAAATTTAGTTCTTGGACCTGGGCTTTCTAAAATGTAAAGGGAACGAGTCTTTAAGTTAATTGAAGTCCTAGTGTTTTAAACAAAAATTCTCAAAATTCAGAGTGAGAAAACAAATTTGATTTTTCCTTAAATACCTTGCATAATTTATCAAATAGTGTGAACATGCAAATTCCTACAACACAAGAGGGAGGTAAGTTCATAAATACAGAAAGCCATGTGAAGGGCACACTAGAAAGTTGGAATTTCTACACATTTAATGTGTGGTTAAACACACTTTTCACAATCCTGACCTTATTGTGCCCCTAACGTGCAGCCCAAAATTAACAAGTCCAGTCAAATGCACAGTTCAGTCACTCTTGGCAAGTAATGTTTTCTGTCGTGACTGTACCATGAGAAATATCTCACTACCAGTTTTCACTAGTCTATACTTATCAATGTAAAATGGAAACAGTTGACGTACTGTACAGACTCCATGAGGGTAACGATCTCGAACATAGCTTGTCACACTCTCTTCAACAGCTGCCCTCCATGCCTCAGCTGTTGGATTAGTACTGTGTGCACCAGGATCACTTGCTTCCTTTTAAAATAGAAACAAAACAAAACAATTGTGTATTTTAGACAATTAAAGGCCCATTTAGTTTAGTAAGGAGATCCACAAACTTACAGGATAACAGAAGCTGCCAAGTTTTCATTCCAGTAAATAAAACATATGGTGAGTGTTGTGACCATCCGGGAACTGCCTGGCGTTGGCTTTGTCCCGTGTGGCTTTTCAGGCAAAAATAGGTTTTTAAGAAGAACGTTTTTGAATCAATGTATAAGGATTTTACAGTCATTAAATTTCATTGTGTTGGTTAATATTGGACTTAACAGTGAGCTCTTTTTTACTATGGGTACAAAAATTTTCAGAAGTGGCGATTTAAATAATGATTTTTGTTAAAATCAAACACATTCAACATTTCTGGCCAGTAGACAACCAAAACAAGATAATACTTGAAGTACTAATAGAAGAAACTTGTACGGCAACTATTTCCCAGATTTTAGTTAAATTCAATGCATGATTTACCAGTAAAGGTACCAGTAACAGGTTTAAATGAGTGAATTGATTCCAATTCAGGATTTGCTCAAAGATTTGTTTGCACTGAGTGGAAGCCCAAAGGTACTTTAACTGAATAGTTCGTTCCCAGTCTTGCATGTAATCTAGCCAAACAACATGACTCCTGCATTAACCTGACCTTCACCTATTTCTTAATTGCCTTCTTCTTTCAAACTCATTCACAGCCCAGCTTCATTTTGCACAAAATCAACTGACAACTTCTGTCTGTTAGAAATTGATTGATTACAATGCTGTTTAGGAGGAGGTGGGTATCCTATCCCTTTGGATAGAATTTTGTCCGTGGCTGGTTAACTATGGCACTGTAATATACTCCTTGGAACACAGCATGACAAAATACCAAGTCAGTGGAAAATGGTGAAGGAAATACACAACTCCTAAAAATGATATGGCTCTTACCTTGCGCAAGTGGTCATACTGGAAGCTTTGCTTACTTCGAGGATCATAAAACCTGCCATCAGGTAGTTCACCATGTCTGGTCACCAATACCTTCAGGATATTAAATTGTACATCATTGGAGAATCATTTCTTTTACTTACTTTCATAATTAAGTAACAGTTAAAGATTTGATTTTGAGGAAAGAGCAGAGAAAAGTGCAAAAATATAAAAGGAAAGGTAGTGTGAGAAAACAACATACAATGTGTATTGTAAAGATGAAATAAACAATTTTTAATATAAGAGAAAAATTGAGTTTCCAGATGGGATTTGAACCCACGACCCTCCGTGATCTAGTCGGATGCTCTAACCACTGAGCTAGAGGAGACTCAACGGTGAGCAAGGGTCAATTAGTGGGTATTGACTGGTGGTGGTTAGAGCATCCGACTAGATCACGGAGGGTCGTGGGTTCAAATCCCATCTGGAAACTCGATTTTTCTCTTACAATGTGTATTGTCAATGATAATCAAACTCTAAATTGCTTGAAAAGTGGAGCATAAAAGCACAAATATTAAATATCTAGTAAATTTTGATATATAAAAAGTGAAATATGTCAAGGAGATTTTTTTTTTTAATTCTGTTAGTATGAACATAAAAACAACACAGGGCCAGATACAATCATTGCCCCAAAAGCTTAGCTAAAATCCTGTAACCACCTATAAGAAGCCAGTGGTAACAAAAACAAGTCCAGTGAGTTATGTACTCACCTGTTCATTTGCACCTTCAAGTTTCACTGGTGTGAATTGTTCCTTATTGTAAGCCGAAAAAGAGCTGTTGACAAAAACAGCAGCAGAAAAAAACAAAATTACGCTTTCGTTTTTTATACACTACAAGTCATAATTTACCTACTACCTGTGTGTATGATCCCTACTAAATCAAATTTGATTGGGGAAACAATACTGCAAATTACCATAAATGCAGGAAAAAAAAAATGAAAAAAAATGAGAAACTGATCAGCTTCTTTTTTTACAAATGTGCAGGAAAAATCTAAGGGTACATCTAGACATACACTTTTTTCCTGATTGCATTTTCAATGTGTATCTGGGCTGTTATCTCTGACCTGTACTGCAGATGTCTCATTCTCATCATTAGTATTGAGTAAATACATGGTTACAATCAACATGCATACACAGATATTATTTAAAGTAACAAAAGAAGGCATCATCCCTACGTTGCACTTTCTAAGTGCTAGGTTGCAATACTTTTTAACAGGGACTTTGAGAAGAAATTAAGAGCACCAATATGTAATGCAACACCTGAATCAGGTACATGACTGCTGAGGCTCTTCAAAGGATCCATGCTTTACACTGCTTTTCCTATACAGTTTTAAGTTCATCAGTACTTTACCATGCTATCAATTAATCTCAGTTTTAATTTCTGAACAACATGCACTGCCTGCCAGAAAAGGCTAACGGAAGATGCCTAGGTAATACTTGGACGACTCTCTAACATTTATCACTGTGCTAAAAATTGTGTAGGTATGATACAAGAGTCCTTAACCTTGTTATGTGAGTTGCAAACAAGTGACCAAGTATTTAACAGTTGAGCTAGAATTTATAAAAAAAAGAAGAAAAACTTGTTAAGTTAAACGATAACCGTCACACAAACCAACCTTGAAGCTTTCTCCTTCAGCAGACTGTCATTGTTCAACAAAATGCGAACATCTACAATAAAAAACAGTCTATATTTGAAAATAGAATAAACTAAAAATGAAAGTCATTCTTTACAGATCATGCCTACCATTGAAGACTTCGTTGAATTCTCCTGGTGGGGCGTGTTTGATGAAATCGGCAGCTATCCGTACCTAATTGGTGGAACCACAACGATTCGTCAGTTGCGGCACTTCAACGATGAGTAACTTTTACGAGAGAAGTACGTTAATTTCCATACCTTCTCTTGGTCTGAAATAGGCTCGTCAAAATCCGCCATTTTCTGATGTCTATTAAGTTGGAGCTCACAGAAGTTCCTTCCAAATCAAGATGGCTGCCTAATTTGAGAAACGCTAGGTTTCCTGGGAACTTCCCGGAAATGCCCAAATTTGGTAACAATTTGAAACTTAAGCCAGCAAAATATTCAACAGCGGTTTATTTCACAAATATGGTGACGTCAACTCAGCAACAAGGGAAGGCAAAGTTAATGTATTCTTAGTCGACGTAGGCCTATTTTGTGTCGAAATCCGTTTCGGAAAAAGGTCATAAATGTCATCCTTTCCGGGAAATGCTTTGCAAGATCGAGAAGCAATACGTGTAAAAGCAGTGGTATGTGTGAAAGTCCGGAGGCTTTGGTGTAAAATAGTAGGATGATCTTTTGCTTTTAACTAATTACTTATTCATTTAGACTTTCTTAGTTTTTCCTTAACAATTTGAAGGACCAATTGTTTCTTTGTTTTTTTTTTTTCAGTTACACGATGGAAAACATGAAGGTGAAGGAGTAAAGAGGTGCTTTTCCGTAGACCCACACATCACGTCATTTTATAATCTTTGTCAGTTGTTGACGCGAGCTTTTCAATTACAAGGGTAAGTCATTACAACGTGTTGTGAATATTACAACACTACTCTGCTACCGCAGTTTTTGGTTGATTTACAGGTGTTTTTCAAACTGGAATTTAGCAACTACAAATGTACGACCAAAGGGGTCGATGCCAATCTGTTAGATTATTAACCACTCGTTTGTCATTTTATTAAATAAAAATGGTAACTGTGTTTGTTCGTGCACAGTTTCTCGTTCTTCATATGACATAGTCAATTATTGTAAATAAAGTTGTCACGTAGACTTTATGTAGCCTGTAGTGCCTCTATAGCTGCCAGCGCATAACGTAATTTCTCTCGGAGTTAGCAATCAACATAAGTCGATATCAGAAAGTTACTCGCCATCAAGAGCAACTGGTTCATTTAAGTTACATATCTTCGATTTTATCAGTTAACCGGTGAAATCTGAAATGGAGGCTAGTAACGGGGTTGTAACAACAAAGGTTCAGTGAAGGTTTATGTAGAGGACATTTGAGATTTCTTCTCAAGTATAGAATTTTTCTTGGATTTTATTCATTTGTTTCTTTCTATTTTCCAACTGTGCAGAATTAAAGCTTATTTGTCCAGAATGCTAAAAATCACCATCAGACTTTTAGGGCTAGCTACTGAAAGGGGTCTAACCCAAACCACTGTTTTACACAAGCAGTAGGTCTTGGATATTCTCTGTAAGAGGGTTGACTTAATTAAATAAATGTCCTTCTACAATTAGCTTTTGGCCCTCTTGACACTGTTCACAAAAATAAATGTGCAGATAAAAGATTCGACAACATTGAAGAAGGTGAACTTTGTTTAATAAAATAACTGGCCCTTAATTTCTCAGTCTTTGACCAATTTCCTTCTACAGGTGTAAGAAAATATACCTTGTTACAGTAGTATTCTTGCTTTACGTGGTTGTTGAGAAGACTCTCCCCTTTGATGCCCCAAACCATACAGGACCTCTTTGTCACCATTTAAACAACCACATGTACATTTAGCAACTGATTTTTTCTTTTATTAACCATTTTTAGAGACTTTGAAATATCATATCAGCTCCCACAGTCAACAGAAAATGGAAAGAGACCAGATGTGTTCATCTCTCTGACATCTGACTTTGATCTTGATGCTGCCTTCATGAGTTCATCTTTGCCATATCTAAGTCTCAAGGTTGAACCTGTAATCTGTTCAGGTAATATGAGTAATTATAGCTATAATTAAAGCACATGCTTGTGACATTTCTTTGATATTTTACCGCTATTTTTTATGGTCCAATAAAATGGGTTGGTCCAAGGGTTAATATGAACCAACATAATGACCAGCTCCCAGTTGATTTGTTAGCTCAGTTGGTAGAGCACTGCACTGGTGTCATAGAGTTCATGGGTTCAAATGCTGCATAGGCCTGAATTTTTTTCAGGCCTTATATCCACTATTACAGAAGAAGGTTGTATTACTACAAGTTAACCTTAAGTTGAGCTTGGTGAAATGGAGACCAACTATCAGCAAGACTGAGTATGGGGTATGGTGGGAGAGGGGGTCATGAAGAAATGACCTTCTTATCGACAACTAGTTTTTTAAAATACTGCAATGAAGGAGTCTAACAAATAAGTGAAAATAGGATGAAGTCTTACAATGTGTACATATAGAGCTAACCAACTAAACACAGTAAACAAAGTCTACACAAAATTTTAAGAGCTAGCTATAAATGTGGCAAGTGTGCTTACATGAATTAAATAAACAATGAACGTGTTGCATCGTCAGACAAACAAACAAAATGGCTGGCCCCTTTCTGGGCCAATAAGTGGTCCTAAGGCTCATGAAAAAAAAATTGTAGGGATGTATTTGTAAGGTTAGAGCTGAGAACAATAAGCACTGTTAGGTTAGTCTGGCAATACCTTGATCCAAAAGAGTTACATTTTGACTTACAAAAAGTGGAGCACATGTCTCAGACATTACTTGGCATCAGAGTGTTGTAAGTCTTATTTCCTGAGAACTTGAAATTCAAAATTTTCTGAGGGAAGGATTTCTTTCTTCTCATCACTTGTCTGCTTGATATTGGATTGAAATTGTAAGAAGTAATTCTGTCCTGGTCACTGATGGGAGTTAAAGGTTAGATGGTGTTAAGATAACACCTTTCTTCATGAGTCAATAGTTTCATGGAAGCTTGATATTCCCGCTGCATTTCTTTATTTGTCATAAAATTTCAACCATAAAAACTGACTGCAAGTACAAACTTTTATTTATCTATTGTATTTTCAGAAGATACTCAGAATGACTGGACTTTCCTAGAGGCAACAGAAGCACCACTGACTAACAATGTACAATCTACTGGGGTTTCCTCTACAGTTCCCTTCCACATATCCTTAAAACATCAAATGGAGCGAACATTCAGCAAGATCACCAAAGCTTTCACTGATTCGGTCAGACGAGGTCCTTTAAAGGAATCAGAGTGGCAGTGTCATTTGGACCCTGAAGGCCGTGTCCTTGCCATTGAGGAGATATGGGTTCGTGTTTTCCAAGGAGGTGGACTTGAACCTGTCTTACGCAAAGAAGTTTGGCCACACCTACTCAACGTGTTCCCCCCTGATTTGACTAAAGAAGAGAGGGAGAGACACTTGAATATGAAATCACAGGTTTACTATCATCTGAAGTCAAAATGGAAGAGAAAATGTCCTCTAGAGATAGAATCCATCACCCATTTGATTATGAAGGATGTTTTACGCACAGACAGAACTCATCCCTATTTTGCAGTCCCTGATGATCATGAACACATGGATTATTTATTTAACATCTTGACAACTTATGCATTAGAAAATCCTGATGTGTCTTATGCACAAGGGATGAGTGATCTGGCAGCTCCTATTCTTGTCATTTTAGATGATGAAGCAGCAGCATATACTTGTTTTTGTTCCCTAATGGAGAGAATAAAAGGACACTTCCTTTTAGATGGTAAAGCAATGACACTGAAATTTGACCATCTGTCACAGTTGGTTAATCGCATGGAACCAGAGTTTTTTAAGTATCTGATGGAAATTGGAGCAGATGACATGTTCTTCTGCTATCGTTGGCTTCTCCTTGATTTGAAAAGAGAATTTCAATTTGATGATGCTGTTCAGTTAATGGAGGTAATTTGGAGTTCTCTGACCTTGCCAACAGAATCAACAGCCCGTGCTTCAAACATGGTTTCTGGATTACCGAGAAGCAACTCTGCTGCTGCCATTTTAACACAGAAGGGTTTCCATACAGTTAATAACAGTAATGATAGTGAGGACGAATGGGATAGTGATTTGGAAGACAATGGATTCTATCCATTCACCTCAAAATCTGTTGATGTAGAGATGAAATTGATTGAATTGCCAGGCCCATATCATCTTGGTGGTGGGAATCCATTTGTTCTTTTTTTGTGTTTGGCCATACTGTCTCTTCACAAAGATCACTGTATGAACAAAGAGATGGATTATAACACGCTTGCCATGTACTTTGACAAATTGGTACGCAAGCATGACCTTCATAAAACTTTGACTAAAGCAAGAGCATTATATTCTGACTATCTTAGTTCATGTGGATTTGAAAAAGATGAAGAGACACCCATACTTGAAGAAACTAATTCATCTTGGTGCAGCCAAGAACATCACACTGATGTTTTCCTTCAAGCAAATCATTTTGTTGAATGTTAATTGATTATAGGGTTTTAGTAAATGCTTTTTAATTTCTTCCTTACTGTATTATAATTCACAACTATTCGTGAAAGTGGAGGTGGCTAGTGGTTGATGTTTACAAAGCCACAAATCAATGGGATAAATATCCCCTGCTAGCCACTGACACTGACATGGAATAGTTTTCTTAGTATGTACTAAAACAGAGATAAAATATAACTCAGGGAGAGGATTCTAACTCATTTATTCCTGGAACAATTACAACATCTTGGAGCACAAATCCTGCTTTTATTGCTGGGAGGTTAATAGCAAAGGATATCAGAAGTTTTGAGTCCTACTCAGAGTGTGCCCTCTATGCTATCCACCACTTTACGATATACTAGGTTAGGTAGTCCTGAGCATTCTGATTGGTTCTTACTTGGTTAGTATTTTTCCATATGCGCTGCTTTTGGGAAAATTGTTGTAAGCCATATTTTAGTTTGCAAAAGCCAGCAAATTCAAAATAAATAAGTTTGGTCGGAGTGCCATATGATAAACTTCTTACTACCATACAAGGGTATATTGGCCATCATTCATTTTGGTACTGACTTCTCTTGACTTGATCCATACCATCACAACCTCTGGCACATATTCTTAAGTATGGCTCTCGCACTCGGTTAGTAAGAAGTTAGTAAGTGATATTGAATTAATATTTGTAAAACGTAACATGTCTGCTAGTGAATCTGGATCCATCCTCTCCTGTTGATAACATTTTTCACTTGTTCACTACACTCACTTATGAGAGATGTTGTAACATCTCAATGATAAAATTTGATCCAGGTGTGGCCATGTAATTTCCTCCATAGACATTTGAAATAATTGTGATACATTTTAGATAACAAAAACAAGCAATAGGAATTTGTATTTTTGTGTAATATATTGTCCATGTCAGATTTTATAGGTAGCCATCAGTATTTTATGACATTTTAAGCAATTTCTTTATTGAATTCCTGAGATTATGTACAAGCTGCCTAAACCCTTTGATGTAAAACCAAATTAACAGCAAAAACATGGCTAACACAAAGGAGCAGCTCTTTATGAAAGTGTTTGGTAAAATCAGTCTTTATGGTTTTGTTGGAAATAGAGAACCAAATATTTAAATAAATAATAATATAACAAGTTTCAATTATGGGTAAGTAGTCATGAAATAATTTTGAAGGAATTTTCTGAATGACTTTTTTTCCAAATTTAATAATATGGGAATCATAACTATATGGCATAAACCCTTTTCATAATAGTGGGTACAGTTAGTATTCTTTGATATGCATGAATATGATAGAACAGCAAAACAGGTGTCCCATTTATGAAAGAGGTCAATGGGGAAATATTTTTTGTCACAATTCCAAGAGAGGTGGCTATTTTCTTAGTAGAAATTCTATTTAATAAGGTAAACAATATTTATTGTAGTACAAAAAAAAAAAATAAAGAGTGTGATGCTTTCAGTTGCTATTATCTTAAGTTGAATTTCACAGTGAATCCCCACCATCTCCTTGTGTTAAACGAACAAGTAATTTACAGAGGTCACCCGTTATCCCAGAAGATTTTCATGCCTTGTTCCAAATGATTACACGGATGTGGACTCCTGTTCCACTTTAGTGGATTTCGTGTCGGCAGAAGATAAGGAATAGGCAAGCGTCAGAGTTCCCTCTGGGCGCTGTGCAGGTCATTTTCAAAGTGAGAGCGCTGAAGAATAGATGAGGAAAAGTACCCCGCGGGTGGGTTTGACAACGCACTGTAGCTCTGAAAGTCAGGCGCGTAGCTCGGGCTTGCAAACTTTCCTCGAAGTATTTATTTTTTCTTGGAATATATATACCTTCCCCAGCCGCACTATACTTACGAGGTGTGGAACGGGCTAACAAGCTAAAAATGACTTGCTACGTCACTGAAAGTAGATATTATCTTAAGATATTATCTTATTTTATTATATAGATACTGATGAAAAACCAGGATTTCTCCTTTTACTAAAAAATCATATCTTCACCGCGCGCAGTGAAGATACTATTTTTATCTTTCACGTGTGAGGATATTGGTGTGGCCATGGTTACCAACATAATTACCCAATTGCTGTTTCGAAAATGAATAAAAAAAGTTGTCTTTTATGTGGAAATTTCATCAGTATCTATATAATAAACAGAACATTACATGGCCGCTTGGGGATAAGAACTTCTCGTGCTGAAAGTATCTCTCACTCGTTCGCTGCGCTCACTCGTGAGAGATACTTTCAGCACTCGAAGATAAAATTCTTATCCCCGAGCGGCCATGTAATATCCTCTATATCTTACCCTTCGTACTTGTTCTTGGGACATCGCAGCATGATTGAAAATGTGTTAGACATGTGTCCGTACCTCATTTTGTTTTCGAATTTGACTCTTTTGGGAACTAGTGGCCTGTACATGATGTTCATCAGTGTTTACGTGTTAGGGATGATTTTTTTTCAAATATATAGTTGGACCACTTTTTCTATTTGGACCATTTTGAATGTTCGGACCCTTTTATCTAATTACCGGTAACTCATTTTAACCAGCTGGACCATTTTAACCAGCTGGACCATTTTCTATAGTTAAACCATTTCTACAACTTAGACCATTTTCTTTAATTAGATCAGTTAAGACCCCTTGAACCATTTAAGGTGGCTACACCTTCGCCGCCCAGTCAGCTCAATGGATAGTGCGCTGGACTGTTGTGCGGGAGGTCGAGGGTTCGAGCCCTGGCCGGACCAACACTCAAGGTCTCAAAATAATTGAGAAGAATTTGTTACCTTTCTATAACATCAAGAAATGGTTAGATATTCTAGTCCTCTCGGAGAGGGACGAATAAATGGAGGTCCCGTCTCCTGCAGGATTGGGGGCAGGAGACGTTAAGTTCCCACGCACGAGATTACTGTGTGATCGATGTCCTCCCCTGGGGTGGGATGGGTGGGTTTACTGGGCCCGCAGTAATTGGTGCAAGCTGTTGCGATGTCCCTGCCGATTGGCGAAGCTAAATAAACTATAAACCAGACTATTTGAACCATCCATAACATTTTTCAGTCCTCTTCAAGTTTTCTGGATCTTCCAAAACTGGCAATGATAGTCCAGAATAGTGCCGAAAAATTTTGCTGAAGAACATTTTCATCCTTTGCCGTTGCGGTCGGTGGTTTCTGTTCTTTCACTTTTGATAGTATCTTCCAAGCATAAAACACATTTCGAGGCCGCCATTTGGTAGCTGTTGTAAGACGTTTATCCTTTAGAGTATACTTTGTTTGAACTGTTTTTCACTACTTGATGACTTTAACTAATCAAAAACCCATTTCGGAAACAATTTCCAAAGTGATTTGAGTGAGAGATGAAAGAGCTACTACCCTAACTTTTTTATCGGCTCGAGGACGTGACCAAAGTTATTGCCAGCAAAAGTGCTACCCAGTCGATAAAACATCATATCATAAAGAATAGGGCAGTGAAGCTGGGGATGTACTTGCCGCTGTACTAAAGTCTGACCGTGCCCGCGGGCAGAGATAAGAAAATTGAGACCGCGCTAAGAACCGACCATATTTCACAATTCGTTAACTGCCCTGTCAAAAAAAAAAAAAAAATCAACTGCTATAACTCTGTCCTCGCGACAAGATCGCATCTGATTTTGGTTATGTTATTCGAAATTGGACATGATATTATGGGGTAAAAAAACACAGGAAATATTATTTTCTTTATTTCACCTCAGATGACTGCGTGTAACATGCCTATGGGCCAAAACACTCGCACAGGTTCAAATGATACGCGCTCTTTAATACAAGAAATAGAGTAAAACGAAGCGAAACGGAGAGGTTACTAAAATAAAATTACAAGTAATAACTTACTACAATCGTTCTTAAAGAAATTGACAAACTGGAAAACAAGATTCCGGCAAATGCTAACTTAAGACGCCACAAACGAAAAGCAATGGTTGAGCACGGTTTAACGATAAAGCTCGAATGGCTAAAATTTACACCATAAAGAACGTATAGAGATATACAAACAAAGATATATTATTAAAAAAAAAGGTAACGGAATGCCATAGAAAACATTGAGCGTAGAAACAAACAAACTTAATGAAAATACGACGAAAAGAAACAAACGAACTTAATGAAAATGCGACCAAAAGAAAACGAACGAACCTGATGAAAATGTGACGGAAAGAAAAGAAAAAGAATACAAGTTTAAGAACAAATAATATCACAATTTTGGCGGCAACAATGCCGTAGCAGAGTCCAAGAGCCTCACCCAAAATAGGCTTCAAGATAGGCTTCACTCGTGCTTTTTTATTTCTTATACGCTTCTAAGCTCCTAGATTGACATTGTGAAAATACACGAGAGAACTACACTTATCTCCAGGGCTTGAACCGCGAAAGAATGCCTTTGGGGAAGTTCGCGAGATGTCAAGGTTCGTAATAATTCTGATGAACCTGATGGGTATTCTAACCCAACACCTTTGAACAAAAGAAGGCTTTCTTGGTTACCACCACGGAGAATTGTTTACATGATAGGTCATGATACATCTCGTTCAGTTTGGATCATGTCGCTTGTGAAGTTACAAGTCAGTGATTAGCTACAAGTAATGGTATTATAAAGAACCCCGTAAACTACAGACAAGAAGAAGGAGCCGATTGATGAATCTGGAACAATTATGAATGATTTTAACCTGCGTGAAAGGCAAATTAAATATTGTGAATTTAATCACGATACAGAATCCATCATACAGGTTTGATCAACTGACAGGCGAACAATCTTCCTAGCTAGTGCTGGAAAGTAATAAAAGAAAAAAAGGGCAGAAAGATTAATAGCCATTAAACACAGCCGCCTGAATTGCTTGTAGAACTACCGGCTACCAAAACAGTTTCGATTCATTATCCACAAGGGGCCTCATTTTATTATTGTTATCTTCTCCTTTAGAGCACCTCACTGAGCGCTAAACCGCGGTGTTAAAGGGAAGGATTTTCATTAAGTAATTAACATAGTTTCCTGGCTTGGAAAAATTTTGCTGGTTAGCATATTTTCAAATGAGACAAACAATAGGTTAAGTAAATATGACGCATATCAATTTTGAAAATCCAGTCGGTTTTGACAATCTGTCAGAGAAAAAGCGCTGAGAAACCAAACGTTTCAACATGTATTTGCATATGAATAGTAACCTTTTGTCTCAACTAAGACAATCACTTTACTTAATGCTTTCAGTTGATGAATTCAAAGGTATAACTTTTCACTCTGCGACATCCTTCATCCTAATCGTGACCCTGAGTTTCTCAGATACTGAAGAAACATTTAAAAAAGCAATGTGTTATCGTCCAGTCACAACCACTATAATTTTACACTTGTCGACTATTGCACCCGCAAATAAAATTATCCGTAGAAAATTGACGTCGCCAAGACAACTGGTTTGCAGCTGCTTGAAGCTTTTCATTTTACTTCTGTTTAAATTCTGGTCTGTCAAAGTGTTAGAATTGTAATGAGCTCATTCTCGCCGCCATGTCTTGCGGCTTTATCAACAGGCGTTCTTCGCGAGGCCGAAAGTTTCTGTATGAAGAAGAAATCCAGACGCTCATCGCAGGCGGAGAAAAATTGAAAAGAAAGACCATTTCAACCCTTGAAATCGATGATAACTATCGAAGTCGCCTCGTAAAGACCACGAATTTAAACGAAACGCTGAGCAAACTCCAGCAGTTTGGTTCGGGTATATGTCGAATTGAAGTCGCTCAAGAAAATGGGACTAACTATGCTGGAACTGGTTTTCATTTTGGTGATGGATGGATTCTAACTGCCGCTCACGTTCTTCGAAATCGTGATAAAGTTAACGTGGCAAGATTCGTTTTCTTCCCGCCAGAAATTGAAATTTCATTTGAAGCAAGGCCCCGAAGAGCAATAGTTCACCGCTTGCTTCCCGCAGGTCGGAGGCCTGATTATCATAACCGAGATATTGTGTTGGTCAAACTTGGCATTCAGTACACTTACGGCAGGAAAAAAGATGATCTGGAAGAATGGGAAATAGACGAGCAACAACTCCTTGAGCAATTCAATTTGTTCGATTTCACCTCATTGATGGAAAATGTATTCACTCCCACCGGAGATGAGCAATTCAGCTTGAAAGCCACGGATCCACTGACAATTATTCATTTTGGCAGTGGACAAAATGACCGCAAGAAATTTGCATACGACATCGAAACGTACGAAGTGTACAAACATTTGGATTTAAAAGTGATCAACTTTGCGTTTTCCGTTGATAGCGGAGCATCAGGTTGCCCTGTAATTCAGCGTGTTGGAGAGAAGTGGATCCTAGTGGGTGTGTTCTTTGGCGGTGCCTATTATGAAAATGAAGCCAATTCAATCATAACGGGGCAAGCTCTGGTCTGGAACCAAGACGTCGTTCAACACATCGAAGCTGGACGGCAAGCTGTCGGCAAGATGTCGAGTTTTAAGCAATACAATGTTTTTATTCCGTTCTCTGAGAGAGCTCAGCTTGTACTAGAAAATAAAGTGAAGGAGGCCGCTGATCTCGCGGTAAAACACCGTATCTTGATTCTGTGATCTCCTCTCAAAACTGTTATTTTGATTCAAACATATTGTACTTATAACTCGTCAATAACGATATCGCGTGCGACAGAATATCAACTTAGCTCGTTAACAAATGTTAAGTAGTATGAGATTGAAACCACAAGCTCGACATGTACTAAGTCTTACCTAAAAGGCTCCTGAAGAGGAGCTGAGGGGAAATAAAGAGCTGTGTTTACTGGATCTGTGAGTCACATCAGCTGATTTTAAAACAAGACACTGTACATGTAAAACTCCAACATGGACTTCTTTGTCGTTGCTAATTTCTCGCCTTATTTAACAGCCTCTACCAACAATTTGGTTTCGTATATCTTCATCGGGAGGAAAACAAGAAAAGAATTATTTTTAGTATGATCAAGTTTCACGCACTTGTGATTCTTGTGGCTGAACGGCGCACACATAAGTTGAGTGGTGCGATGAAAAGGCTAAATTTTTGGCCATTTAGTTCTCAGAGGAGGGTCACCCACCTTACACACAACCGAGTACGACAAGCGTCTCCTGTGTGTTTACATGAGTGGTCTATCAAGATAGAAAACTTAGGAACTTCCAAGCATAGGTGTAGCCTCGCCAGGAAGCCTTACCTTGAATGAAAAACGAGTCGCGAGATACGATTCACCCTGACGAAGGGCTAAAGCTCGAAACGTCAGCTTTAAAACTCTTTACGATGGCCAATTTACATTATCAACTCAGTTGATAAAACCAAATTGTCTTGTTATACTTTCCCACGGACGCAGCACCACAATTTCTTTAGAAACTCATCCCGATAATCAGTTCCGTTAATCAATATCGTCCCTGTTGTTTAAATATAGCTCTTATTTTAGTGACGGGGAGACTTCAGTTCAGCTGAATAGTACGAAAACGAGATGTTTCCCGCAGAGAGAGATAACCCCCACAATCCCTCTGGCACGTTGCTGACATAACACCTCAGGGGGAGGTGTTGCCCTTGTAAGCAACTGATCCTACTCTACTTTAAGTTCTCTGTGAAATTAAACATTTCGTGAGAAAGTTGCGCTACCAAAGCTGTTGTAAATGAGATAACAAATCTTATCAACAAAAAAGGGCAAGTTGAGGCTGCAAACGTGTCAAAGTGAAATAATTATTGTGCTTGTGCGTTTCATTGGCTGAAACCGGAGCCTTGAGCGAACGCGTTAAAACAAAACAAACAAATGAAACAAACAAATAAAAATTTGAAGATGCTTGATGAAATGGATATAGTGGATAAAAATACCAATCGCAACCAACGTACACTTCTTGAGTATCACAACCGATAGCATCACAGCAAAACTGAGGAATAAGTTTCACGAATCAGACTTATCACGTTCGATTGACAAACTACGCTGTCGCTTGGTTCTGATCGATTACTTATGCTCAGGCTCTCCAAACATCAGTTTCTGTCATCCACGACTCTTTCTTTTCAGAAGTATCTCTACCGAAGGATCACCTACATGATTTATTGTCACTCTCGGCCTCAAACTCTACTTATTTGAACTTAACATTCAACATGATTTTCCCCTTATTTTATTCTTTATCTTTGGCCTTTTGTTTATAGCCGAATAAGGAGAGAAAATTCCTGTTTTACTAATCATAATTATTTTCCATCATAATGACCCACGTCATAATCACGCATGACGCAACAGAGTATTGGAGACGAATGTTCCATCGCTGTCAAGGTTCCACCATGAAGCCTTTTCAAGCACTCGGTTGCAGAGTACTGCTCTTGTTTTTAATGCTAAGCGAAGGTGTAGAGTGTCGTCCAATACAAGGTACGAAACGTGGGGCGTTGGAAGCTCTATTGCTAAGTATCGTTCGTGGCGGATTAATGGCCCATTTTAGAGACTTTTATTAACTGAAACCAAACCACCTGGCTTGTCGAAATAAGCCAACATTTTTCACACTCTAAAGAAATATGGACGGGCTGACTGACTCAATTTTTTTAAAATCACAATTAATTCATGACATTACTGAGGTGATGCTAACGCCCTGATTGATCGGCAACGTCTAAACTTTTTCCTCATGTACCGCACATAACAGGGCAAGCTGTGCGCGCGCTAGTTAACAAATCGACAGGGGTTTTGCGTGGTCTGTGCACTTATCTTGACAGGGGTCAAAACGTTGTGGACTCCTTTTTTACCACGATGTCGACGTCCAAAATTCCGAGCCACCCATGTTTGAGAGCTGATAAAGACAATGGCTGACACTTTGACGTGTGCAGCGTTGTCTGCACTCTTATCAGCAACGGCAATTTGGCCAATCAGATCGAGAAACTACTGCCAATTGTGGTAAAACTCATCTTTTTTTTTGCTTTACAAAGCAATAGAGATCACAGGCCAACAAAGTATTGGTTCAGCGTTTTTCGATATGGGCGAGGTCATTTTCTCCTGATCCTAAACAAAATAAAGGTCGTGAAATCATAGGATTCCTATGTTCCAAACATAGTAAGAGTAGTGATGTACTATTTTCATTTAAGTTTTCCTCCACCGGTTTTCGGTTTTCCAATCATTTTGCATTTTGAACTAACAAAGAAGAGAAAACATGAATTGCAACCCACTCGTCGAATAAAAAGTTTCTAATACAACAATGCTAAGAAAAAGAAGAAAGGTGAGAAATTTTTTACGTGAGAATTTTAGCAACATTTAATTTGCATTTTCTCTTGATTTATCAATCAAATTCATGAAAACAGTGCCAAACGACATTGAATTGTCCGCCGTTGATGGCAGAAGAGATGTTGTAGAGAAATACTTTTCCCCAGGTGGAGTGCCGGTTGATGTTCGTAATGCTGGGTCAAAAGATATCCAAAAGGGACCCCATGGCTTGGTCAAAAATACCCTGTTGAAAGGAGGTGACGAATATTTAGAAGTCAAAGAAGTTGAATTCCCTCATTCCTCAAGTAAGGGTAAGTGGGCATCAACTTGTCCGGCAATCAAACTAATTACAACTGTAATAATTTCAATATATCAACAAAGTTGAAATGGTAAATTGGCCACCGTTTCGATTATAAAAGCTGACGTTTCGAGCGTTAGCCCTTCGAAGGGCTAACACTCGAAACGTCAGCTTTTATAATCGTAACGGTGGCCAATTTACCATTTCAACTTTGTTGATATATTGAAATTATTTCGTTACCCCCACCGACGCAGCCCCAAACAGTTTCTTTAGAAAACTACCAGCCTTAATTGCAACTGTCTACGATAGTTTGCCGAAAAAACCACTGATGACAAAGCAATCTGTGAAGAGTTGGAAAAATCAGTTGCACCGTCAACGAGTCGCGCACACAATATCTAAAGCGAAAGGGTATCTTTCTCTCATCATTGTGGTGCTGTTTATCAGAAGGCTTTAGGCTATTGGGCAGGACTTCGCACTTCGGATAACCATCGTAACGAGGAATGTTTTCTCTGGTTTTCCGATCATGATTTTGTTACCATTAACACTGACAATTTACTATCGTAGGAGACCATCAAAACATCCCGTCAGCAGACGCGCGCCAGAATGCGGCGCACCCTACTCCTACTGAAAGACTGAAGATTGAAATTATCGAGAGACCAGAATTACTAAAAGTGACGGTCGACAAGACACCCCATAAGGAACAATCACGGACAAATAAAGAGAAAAAGGAATCGAGAGAACCACAAAGGGAAAGTGAGAGTCAATCAATAACAAGCTCAGGCCTTCTCATTGTGGACGAAGGTATGTTCCTGGTCTCAAGTGAATAAATCCACCAATAAACTTGAATAAATGCTACGTACAAAATGGCTTTATCGTTAGAAAGCTGAATTCAAACTGCGAATGATTATCAATATCCCGTTTTTCATGCTTTTAATGTTTTTTGCCTTATAAATCATGATATCAAATTCGGTTTACAGTCAGCCGGCGGTGTGCTATCGTCTCGAATGATTGGAAATTGATACAAATCAGTATTTCTTTTTGGGGAGTAAAGGCTGGCCGCATTTGTTTCTCACATTAACTTCAGCACGCGACAACTCCAAGCGTACAGCTGACAATGAACGGATTTATGAAGTGCTAAATGGAAGCCGTGTTTGAAGATGGTTTTTCAGATTACAATGCTCCAAAAATAATCACGGTTTTTGAAAAAAAGGTCTCACGTACCTGTTTAGAGTGAAAGGTCCTGAGCGTCATGACTTAATGATATGATATTCTCTGCGGAGCTGGCGTTAGCAAGATTTTTAACACCATTCTTTTTATGTACCATGTTTAAAACGGTTAACTTTGATTCTGGCACGGTAAATGCAAAACATTGGCTGTATTGAATTCAAGTGAATACACAAGGTAAAGTGCTTTAAACTGGCTTAACTATAGCACCGTTCAATGTTACCTCTCTTGATATCATCTATGTATTTATCAAATAATTTGGATATATCAACAAAGTTGAAATGGTAAATTGGCCGTCGTAACGATTACAAAAGCTGACGTTTCGATCGTTAGCCCTTCGTCGGAGCCTTATTCATATGTATTTATCAGATTGGGATGAAAACTATCCTGTGGATGACGAGGATTGGAGCAGTGAAAGTGCACATGATGTTGGTTCAGCTTCAACTTCAGTCTCAGGCTCAGGTTCAGTCCCAGGCTCAGGTTCAGGCTCAGGCTCAGGTTCAGGTTCAGGTTCAGGTTCAGGTTCAGGTCCATTTAATGTTGGTTTCCTTCCTCGATGGAAGCTCGTATCAAAGAATCGCGTCCATCACGAAGCGAAGTCTAAGCATTTGGCCGCCATCGATTATGGCGGGATTGGACTCTTATGGTTGTTGGCAGTTATTGCTTTAGTCCTGGCGGTTGTTTCCATCGTTTTTGTTCGCAGGTAAAAACGAGTTAGCCACAGTAACATTAACTTAGCTTGGACCAGCTACTCCTGTCACTTAATCCTTTAACCACTCATGTAACATTTATAGTAAACATCGTTTGATTGGTCAATTCTGTTTCTAAGCGGATCCCTTATCAGGTTTCATAGTTCACCACTAAATTTTCTCTGATTCTTACTGGTTTAAATTGATCACGTGACATGCTAGTGTTCTTCCGTGGAGAGACACTATCAGTCCAAAGTGCTCGTCCGCGGAAAATGCCCGGATGGATAGTACTCATCCGTGAAAAATTTTGAATGATTTGACGACCGCAAAGTTAGACAGATGGGAAAAACTGTGACTTTTCAATTCTGACAGGTATAATGCATTATTTAGCCAATGTACGTTTGCGAACTATTGACATTTGTGACAGGCTGTGCGTATGAATAGATATTTGATCGACCTGCATTTAGTGACTTTTGACTTTTTTTCGACTGGCGCGTGGAAGAAAACTTAATGGTGAACAATAAAGACAATAGAGTGTTTATGTTTCGGCGCTATCCGTCTGATAGTTGCCCCTTGGAGATTTGATGCTCTTAAAACTAGCATATTTGTTTTAAACACGAAGGCGCGCTATATAAGGAACTCTTCCCTGGGAAGACCTAGGCTCATTTGTCACTCACCGTTGACGTGTGCGGTTCAAATTTAAATGCTGGTATACGAACAAAAGGAGCTAATGAGATATCTATTGTTTACTTCCACCAACATGGTGGCATGAGGTAACGTGCGAACCACCTACTTCGATCTCAAATTTACTGCCACAAATAAAGACAGTTTCCAATGGAGAAAGGAAATACAAATCTCAAAATTTCTTGTATTGTGATGAAGATGTAAAACAATTTTGAGGAATGCGCCTGCTGTTCACTGCTTTGGAGTAGCTGTAGCTCAAGCTGACTTGACTCTAAGAGTTCTACATCACACGACGGTTGATTGAAAAATGGTCCAGTGGGGCCTAAGGCTCCTTTTATAGCGCGCCTTCGTGTTTAAGAACATCGAATTCCCGCGGGGTAACTATCAGCCAATAGTTCCTCTACAGAAACACTCTATTGTTTAAATAGAGCCGCGTATAACTAGTTGTATCATAAAAGTAATAGAACTCATTTTCCGGACTATATAACGTGATAAAACCACTTGGGGTGTTGGGAGAACACATCAGAAAGCTTAATTTGGGATTCCCCAAAAGGAACAAGTTTTTAACCAACACATAAACAGTACGATTAAACAATTACTAATAAAAGAAACCATGGCAAACATGTTGGCAGATCTTGCTGCACACCAGATGTTGGCCCGCCTGAATCTATCAAGGTTGAAAAGAGTGGCAAAGTATTTTCTTCCAACCAATCTGCCCTAAAAGAGGCCCGAGTTAAAGTTGGCAAACAAAAATCCCGAGAAAACCGGAAAGTTCTCAGAACTCTAAGCACAGGAGTAGGCACCGAGAAGGATGAACTGGCCATAGCTTGCTCCATCATTTCTCCCAGCATTGACGCCAGGAAAAAGAACTCTGAGGCTTTACATACTAGAGCGGTAAGTACATAGACCCTAAAAGAAGAGTCTCTCATAGTCTTTCATGGTTATGAAGAGTACCTGGATTACTGAAAGGAAAGCCACATTTTGCAGGTCGTCTCAGTAGCCAGCCGGAAAGTATGTAGTCTCGGGACTTCTTTAAAGCAATGTCGTTTGAGTACTTTTTTAGTTAGCACCATAGAAAAAAGATGGATAGTTAGGCAGTCTTGTCATTAACATATCTTAGTGGTCCAAGCTGACATCGTTTGTGTCGGCCTCATAAGCCCCGCGTATTGGCGATACAAGGCTTTCCTCATGTTTATTACAAAACTCGGATATGTTCATAGACCGCCTGCTGTTTTATTCCTAGCCTTATCCCTTCCCTTCTAACATACCCTAGCGAGTTCGTGCATTTGTTTGTATTTTTTAATTCGAAAACGTGATGCCAACAAGCTGTCATATTTTACATAGTGTGTTCGCGCTGCCACTTCCCAGTCTCGACGTAAAAGCACGTTCGAGGAAGACCTTAAGATGGCACGATATGAATTTGCGAATGCTCCTGCCAAGTTTGCTCAGCTTGTGCGTTCTGCAGGAGATGAGCTGAAAGAATCGACTGAACAAGACTCGAACAGCGAAGCTGTCAAGTCTGACTCACAGTAAGGTATGCTCAAACTGACATAACATAATCATGATAGACTCTCCAATTAGCCTGAAAAAGAAATTTTACCCAACATTGAAGGGGGGCAACTTTTATTTAACACAAGAAGCTCCCTGACAGAACATAAATGGAGGCGGAACCATTTGCAGCCTCACTAACTACGGAGAAAGTAATGCATGTCCACAAGATGATCAGTGTCACTCGTATCTTGACCCTTTCACTCCCAGGAATTGATAATAGACTTAACTATATTGATAATAACTTAACTATATTGATAATAGACTTAACTGGGACTATCACGTCAAACCATTAAAGATCAGCTTTGCAAATACGCTTAACACGCTGAAGCGCAGCTTGTTTTTACCAAGACCCATGCTACTGTACTTATACTTCAAAGTAATCTACCCATCAATTATATATGGTATCACTGTCTGGGGCGGCCTTACTAATAAGGAGGGCCTAATTGCATTAGAGTCTTTACACTGTAGAGCGGCAAAATTAATTTTTAACTGGCCATGGGATATGCCTAAGTCTGAAGTACTAAGCAAAGCTCGATGGTCTTCTATTGAAACCACATATAAAGTTAATTTGGCTAAACTGATGTTCAAAATAGATAAGAAGACTTTACCTATATCCATCTTAGATACCACCGAAGAAGTTGACGTGAATACTAAGAAAAATCTAAGAAGTAATGCCAACATAAAAGTACCAAAATTCAACACATATTACATGAAAAACAGTTTTTCCAGAAGAGGACCTATCGTTTTTAACACACTTCTCCAAGAATCAAATTTAAGAAATATAACCATTAAGCAGCTCTCCTCGTTAGCCTACAAATCAAAGGCACTTTTAAATTTGAACTTTAATTCTATTTCTCCACAGACAGTGAACTTTAAGGATCCCAATTTTAAATATTTTTAGATCTTCTAATTTTGATAGGCTACTTTAATTATTTTATTTTACTACATTTCATTTTATTCCATTTTACGCACGACCCCACAAGCGTGTAGTCGCTTTAACAATTATCGTGTTTAAATAAAGTCTTTGTATTGTATTGTATTGTATCAACACAACATCAAGCAGACAAAGGATGAAGAATAAATAATGTCACAGGCATCTCCAACGAACTTAACGCTCAACGTTCTTTTAACCTTTTAACCTTGCGTTGTCTCAGTTACAAGGCGATCATTC